TCTGGAAATACATACACACACGTGAGTGGATATGTATGTGCGTGTATTTTTTTTTTTTTCAAATTTAGGTAATAGGATTTCATAAAAAGAAAAAAATTATTTTTCTTCTGGCGTCTTATATTAACATATTATTTATTTCTTCTGTTTCAATCTCCTAAACATTGTTCACTTACCCAGATATCTGCTAATTTAATTTATTGTTTTCTGCTCTTGATATTGTATATGAAATAGGCAGAGTCAGTCCTGGACATATAACACGGGTGAAGTGCTCCTTCTGTTACTTCCAAACAGCCTTTATTCATATGATCATCTTCCTGCCACATCTCCTTAGATTTTTAAGAGTCTTTCAGCTGACAAAGTGAACCACGTCCCAAACCCACCAGCCTTCCCAGCACTAGTTCTGGGTTTCATATCCTCAAATACCTGCTAGTATGATAAAAGATTTCAACCAATGAGTAAAAATTAAGAAAATTATCCTTGCTACTAATGCCAGCTAATTTGCTAACATGGCCAGAGATTATGATAATTTGATCTACTCAAAGGTATGGAAACTCGATCAACAAAGTAGGTTGTAGGAAATTAGGATCAAAATGAACAGGGGAAGAAAATGAATAAGACAAAATTTGAATTTAAAATTATGTAAATGTCGGCAACTCCTACTAAGTATCACCATTAATGATCAATGTTAATTTACCCTGCCTGAGATATGGAGGAATAGCTCTACATCATCATATTTTTTTTTCTTTTCACAAAAAATTCATTTATATTCTTGACTATTCATCTTAATATAACTTGCTTTAGTTTTCTATTTTGAGCTTTCAGTAGGGACACTGATAGAGTTCACAGTTTATTGAGCAGAAACGGATAACATCATCCAGTTTAAAGACTCCCATATTTGAATTCTTCTAATAATCCAGATAAGATCTCCACTAAGAACCTTAGCGGAAAGTAAATACACATTTCTATAAGATACTTGTTTTTAAAAGGAAACAATGTTTATACAGTTACTGAAACACAACAATTAGATAAATGGAAAAATCATTCAAATCTCCTTCCCTGGGGTCCCCCAGGATTTATGTGCAGTTAGGATATATACATGAGAGTATATCCTAACTGCAACCTCCTCTTACTACAGCTCCCATGCATCTCATATGCACTGTTAGAACAAGTAGCTCTTGTGAATAAAAATGTGTAGTTACAAACTTTGGAAAACATTTAGTCCAAATGTTAAAATGCTGGGTCAAAATTAAAAATATCATAATAGACGCTGACAATATTATTTTCTTAAAAATACACAACAGTGATGATGGCCCCATATACCATCACTGTGTATGCTTATATCACATTTCCAAAGTCATAGGCAATTGTACTATGTATTGATAACTGGGCTGAGAAAAACTAGAAAGCACTGAGATTTTTCTTTTAAAGATATTGAGCTTTTGTAGTTGCTTTACGGTGCTTTCCATTCATTTCCCTGTGGCAGAGGCCTTTTGACTTCCAAATTTTAAGATACAAGGGCTATGATTCACATCAGCGTCTAATAGTCTAAATTTGTGATTTCAAAACTATGTGTGACTGAATTCCATGAACGTGCTATGGAATATTTTAAAATTTCAATGTAAGCATAACAAGGCTCAACATCTGTCAGACACTGCACAAACTACTAGTAAAGGTATTTCACAGTTTCAGTATTAGAAAGTGCCACATTCCTTTTACGGGTGTCATAGCCATGTGGTATGAAGTTAGGTTCTCAGCAGGTGATGTGATAAAAAGCAAAATCCTCCTGAAAGTCTATGTGGAACAGATAATGAAGTTCTCAGCATTCAATTGGATTCCAAGGTTTGAGAATTTGTGCCCAACATGCACAAACACCCCATCAGTAAGTAATTAGTAAGAAATTTAAGAATAAAATAAAATATTAATTTTATTTTGTCTTCCAATTTAGGTTGTCAGAACATAAATATTAAGTTGTTTGGCCATAAATTTTTAATAATCAGAATTCTTGGTATTTGTTTGTGTGGTGGTGCCATGAAAAAATGACTGAGCTGTGAATGTACTAAGAATGGAAGAATCTTAGAAAGATTTTTCTAAGTGCTTTTCTAGAAAATAAAAAAATATATTCCTGTAAGTAGGATCACTCACCTTATCAGACCTGAAAGAGAATTTGTGTATACAACGTACTAATCAATTTAGTGCTGGAATATAAATGCTTGTTTTGATTATCTCCTTTACTCTTTTTATTTTCCAGTTTTTTCTAGATTTATAACCAGGAGATTAGAGTCACTGAAGCATTTCCACGTTGCGGTTCCCTAAGTTTATACGTAAGCTCACCAGCTAGGTAAAGCCTAGTATAAAAATGTCCTTACTGTGGTACCACAATTATACTCTACTGGAAAGAGTCCAAGGCTGATTTTCTTTACATTGATCTCCCTCTGTGGTAAATTGTGTTATTTTGTGTTTCCTGTGAATTCTTCTCATTTTGAGACAAACAAAATAATAACACAAAACAAAATAATACTTTAAAACAATATTTCTAAAGTTTTCAAACAACTTAACCAAGTCATAATATTTAAAAGCTAAGTATCACCTGAAATTTTCTTCAAATTCTATGCAATATAAATGTTAAAAAACCACTGTTACCCATAACAAAAACCACTGTTACTTACACACACACACACACACACACACATATAATTAGAGAGGTTATATGACACTGAGACAGAAAGATAAAATAAGGCTATATAAAAAAGCAAGTTGCTGCAGAAACCCTATGTAAAACTAAATAGAGAAAATAGAGTTGCTATTCAAGAAGATTGTTCATTTTCTTATTCCTTCTTCTGGTCCTGCATAGTCTGTCTTCTTTCCTTCCTTCATTCTTTACTTTGAAAGTCTTCAATATAAACCAGGTAAACTTTTCTAAGTTTATACATGTATAATTAATTTCCAAAAATGTTTTCTAACCCCAGGTTAAAACAAAACAAAACAAAACAAGCAAGCAAAAACAGTGTAATGTTCTTAACAAACAATAATAGATTATTTCCAAAATCAGTTTCAGAAAGTGAATTGTTCTTTACCAGAAGAGCTAATGATTAGACAGTGATATATTTCTATATTGCTTAAAATTGAGATTCATAATTGATGTGTGTGTATGTTTGTGTTTATGTATGTGATGATCATACAGGTATGAAATTTTTAGTTTATTATAGTTTACTTGATTTTTATTGTTTTTATATCCTCAAAGCATTTTGTACTAGTGAAGCTTTTTGCAGTAGTATTTCCTACTCAGTTCATCATATTGACCTGAAAGTTCTAGACAATCTTAAACTTTTATATTAGACTTTTCCTAAGGAATTTTTAAATTCATATTATAAATTCCCAAGTTTTAGGTTGCCTGTAAAATGAATAAAAGATTTTCTGACCTTACATTGATCAAAATAATAAAAAAACGTCCACAAAACTTATTTACAAAGAACACCTCTTACAAATGTATTATATGCCTGAGATGTTTTCTTTACTTTCTACTTATAACAGGAGTTCATTATCTTACGGTTTCTATGGCTAGATATATAAAAGAGAGATCTTTTGATTTTGTAATCACTGACTTCACAATCACTTTACGATTTTGTTTCCCTTTGATTTATTAATCATTTATTATCACTTCAATCTTTTCTTTGTTTTGTTTTTATGTCTTATTTTACACCTGTACTTACTTATAGGACAGTATTTGTTTATCTAGAGTGAGTGCTATTTGATCTTAGGTTTTGATAGTTTTAACCGCCTGTTGTTGAATTTTACAGCAATGTGTAAATGAGTAATGACTGAATTACCTCTTACTGATTATGACAATAAGCCAAAGTTGAATGTGAAAGGATCATTGTTGACCATAAGAAAGTTAAAGAGATGTCAATATTCACAACTAAATTTGATCTCAGATCGCCAAATTAAATGACTTGGAAGTCAAAAGACATCATTGTTCATGCCCCCAAAGGAATGGCTAACAATTTGAAAACAACGCTATGTCTGGTTTGTGGAGGAAGATAAGCTGGCGAGTTTAAAAATAATCTTAGACTGGGGAAGTGCATAAAAGGTCAATCACAATCTTACAGTAAAAGAAAACTGAGAGTTATTGATTATGCCTGGAAAACAATGAAACAAGAGAACATTCAGTGCTGATTTTTAGTACAGCTAGTAATAAATAATAATAGAGCATTGCTACGATTAGGTACCAGCAATATGTCTTCAAATTGATAATCTCATCAAAATTATTTCTATCAAAAGAGTATATTTTAGAAAACAAATACAAATGTGTATCAGGATTAGAAATTGACCAGTGATCTGTTTCCCGTATGGTAAATTTTGTTATTCTATAAAACAAATGAAATACTAGAAGGCCCCAGCATACTTGTTAATCTTTAGCTCTGGAGCTAAAGCAAAAGTAGATACCAGTGCAAATCAAAGTCAAGACTAGTATCCTCAGAAACTGGGACACTTGGACATGTCAAATCAGGCAATTATAGGAAAGCCATGGCTGCTTATTCTGAGAGAGTAACTATTTGCAGGTGATTTCTAACCTAGTGACATTCTAATGTATATAATTAACAGGACCCAAGGCATTATAATGACTTTACACTATATTTGTTTCAATGAATCAGTGAGATTATATGGCAGAGATCCAATCATCATTTGATCTTCTTGGAATGACCATATCTAGAAAAAGCATAGCATATGATATAGACACAGAATATTTAAAGTTTGCCCTGGCAAATTAACATGTACACTGTCTCCTCTCTTTCTATTATCTCAGCCCCCCAGCTCACAGAGATGGTATTAGAGTTCTCCAGATATATATATATTATATATATATATTTATATTATATATAAAATATATAATATGGAGAGAAATAAATATATATAGAAGTATATGTATGTGTGTGTATAGAGAGAGAGAGAGAAAGAGATAAAGATAACAAAAATAGGTTTATTATAAGGAATAGGCTCACCTGATTATAAAAGTTGATGAGTCCCAAGATCTACAGTTGGCAAGCTGGGGACCCAGGACAGCAAATACGGCAGTTCCAGTTTAGGTTTGAAGGCCTGGGAAACAGAAGAACTGATGATGCAGTTTCAGTCCAAGTCTGAAGGCCTGAGAATTTGGAGAGTTCGAATGCCTGTAGGTTGCAGAACCAGGAAAGAAGGATGTTTCTGTTTAAGTCCAAAGATAGAAAAAAAAAAAAAATGATATCCCAGGTGAAGGCAGTGAGGAAGAAGGAAATTCCCTCTTATTTATGGGAGGGTCAGGCTTTTTGTTCTATTTTGGAACTGATTAGATGGGGCCTGCCCACACTATGCAGAGCAATCTGCTTTACTCAGTCAACCAATCAAATGTTAATCTCATTCAGAAGCACCCTCATGGACACAACCAGAATAATGTCTGGGCACCCTATAGCCCAGTCAAGTTGACACATAAAATTAATCATTACAGAGACCCTTATTTCTTTTCTTTTTCATCATGCAGTGTCTTGTTTGCTCCTGACTGCTAAACTTCCAAGCTACCTTATCTCCTGTGTCTGCTGATCTAAGGGATGTCCAGATGTTAGACAACAGAGAATTCCTAAGTTTCAAACTCTCCCCATGCCTCATTTTCTTAGGAATTGCTAGGGCATACATTAATTAAAGTTCAGATATTAATAACTTACAGTGGCTGATAACATTTACCTTTAAGTAGAATCCCTAAATATTTTATTTTAAAAAAAATGGAAGAATGCATGGAAGTTCCCATGAAAGAGAGCCTCAGCGGAATGGGCATGGAGGTGCACTCTTGGTATTCTATCAAACCTCACACAAATCCTCCCACGTGGGGGGTCTGCCACTTACTCTACATCAAGGATGACCAGACATTCACTTATTAACACTTTAGAAATGAGCATGTATGAAATTCAGTGCACAGTTTGTAATTTTTATTGCCAATGAAGTAATGGTTGGGATGGAAATGATTTGAAATACAGTAGTACAGATTGTTTCCTTGTTTATAGGGAACTAGAAGTGCAGTATAAAGTGCCCTTTGTAAAGGTACCAGAGAAAACCATAAAACTGAATAAGCTCATTGACTAAAATACAACACAAGGTGATTACTTTAGGTTGGTCTTAAATAATAGACAACCATAAAAAATAATTAGATTTGAACACATAATCTACAGAAAAGAGTAAAATATTTTTTCAAAAAATATGCATAGATCTGAAAGGAATTTACTCATGTTTACTTATTTTAAAAAGTACTTATTTTAAAGTATAGTATCACTTGTCTTTCTACTTATGAGGAATTGTGTCATGTTATTACTGGCATCTCCCTTAATGTTTTATCAGATTGATTGCTTTCAAAAAGATGTAATAATCTTTCTTATGGTGTGAATATTTTTCCAAAATTTTATTATAAAGATTTTCACACATACAGAAAAGTGGAAGTGTTCAGCAAGCATCCATATATCCACACCCAGATTCTATAATCAACTTTTTTCTATATTGGTTTTATAACATGTCTGTACATCCCTGCCAATCCATCTGATTTAAAAAACAATGTTTTTCAAAGTAAGATGATGATATTGGTATGCTCCACCCCTAAACACATTAGCATGATACAAATACTTTTATTTTGTGCTGTAATTTAAAAATATACTGCTAAGAAATAACAGTAATTAACAAAATACATGTCTTACTGTGCATTGAATCACTTACAAGCTAGTTAACTTGTCCATTAGAGCTTAGTGCTTATGAGGATTTGGTCTTAGTTTTAATCTCCCTGATGGGTCAATTAGCTATTTTCTTTTCCACAGGTACATATTAAACCCCTAATAACACTTAGTCATACTGAAACTTCATGTATTTTCAGCAAGGTAGTAACGTGTAAGAGTACACCAATCTTTAGTTATAGACAAATCAATGAACAGGGCCAACTGATGGTATTAATTACAGAAATTTTGTGAACGATTCATTTATATATTTAGTGACTGTGAAATAAATTTATTAGTTGAAAATGTATATAATAGCTTATTTACCTTTTAGGGGTGTTATATTTGTAGATATGAATGATTTATTTTATTTTGGATACTTATTTATTTCTATGGAGTTTAACTTGTAAAGAGAACAAAAATTATTAAAGTTTGACCAGGTGATCTTTGCATCTATCATAAAGCAAGTAAACAGCCCTTGACTTATTAAAAAACTGTGACACCTTAACCAATAACTATTAAATTCTGAGCTGTTGAAAACATTAATGAACTACACTTTTACAATTCCCTTTATTTTAGCTAATGTGCTTTTTCATCTAAATTTATGTAGACCCATTCAATTATTTTGATTATTCTTCTGAAAATTGGTAGTTTCTAACCATCTATTTTATATAAAAACACACTTTAGCTTAGAAATGTTGCATGTAGAAAATAAGATTTTAATATATTGCATGATTCCGTAAGATAATTGATTCTTAAGATAATAAAGCAGTCTCCAATTTTCATATATTTCATAAAATTCAGAACTTGATTCTATCAGCTTAAAGGACAATTGGATTTTCCACAGTATAAAGTTCCAAAAATCTCTCTTGAGAAAAAATAAGCCTCTCTTTAAGATCTATGGTCTTAACTACATTCTAATTCAATATTGAAAAATTTTCAGAATTCATACTAATTTATCAGCAAACTTCATCCCATTATGTGTTTAAGAAATAGACATTTCTTTATAAAAAGAACAAAACTGTTACAAAAACAAAAAAAGCATAACATCATGACAGATAGTGAGAAGAAAACAGTTATGCCATGTGACTATCTTATAAGGAAACTTCACAGAAATTCCCACAAGAAATATACCATGAAAAATAGTAGTTCTAAATACACTTTGTTTGGAATAATGATGCCATTAACACTTGGTACTACAGTTCCCAGAAGGAAGTGCATTTCCATAATGGTTTATTTTACTGTTTATAAAGATAAACACAGAGGTCATTGTGCAGACAGGCTAATATGTTTCAAGAATAAATGCCACTTCGAAATATAAAAAGTCTCAGTATCCCTGACACAAGCCGAACTTTCTAGTCAAATCTTAAAAAAATAGATCTGTGTTTTTATCCTACTTTTTCTATCTATAAGAATAAAAATTCATTCTTATTTTCTTGGATAAATAACATCAATATTAAAAACGTGGCAGTAAAAAATTATGTTAACAATAACAAGCAAGGTAATGATTTTAATGTTAATGTTACAATACTGGCATTGAAAATGACTTGAGAGTAAGTGCAATGAAAATGATTTGAATGTAAGATTCTGGTTATTTTCAAACTATTAACAGAGAGATTTTTAATTCATTTCCCCAAGTGAGGCCAAGTTCCTGAAAAGATGCTTTCACAAATCAGTTAACAATATGTTATCGCTAAACAGCTTCCCTTTGTACATTGTGTGTGCTTTTTCTCCACTCTTTGACCCTTACCCACAATCTATGTACATTGTCTAAGGTGTGCTCACTCTAATGCTTTGATGTCTGAGTCTTCAGCACTGTGTCTCAAGATGTTTATCCATTTCTCTTTCCACTTTTACTTCACAAGACTTAGACGTAAATAAAAAGCATTGATTTACAGCTATACATGCATTGCCATTGTTTGGGGAAAACAACAAAACAAACAAAGGCTCTGCTGACTGGAGATGAAGCTCCTCTCCTCAACAATACTCAGTCCTCCACCTTTCACTTTATTTGTTTTTTTGGTGGCTGATCAGTTCAGGGGTCCGAACCCGTGATTATGGTGTTATAAAGCTGTGCTCTAACCAGCTAAGCTAACCAGCTAAGCTAACCAGCCAGCCTCTGCCTTTCACTTTAGTTACCGAAAGCACACCGACTTGTATCATCACCCTGAATTTTTTCTATTCCACAAAGACCAGAAGCTCAGAATTATTCAGCTCTATCACAAATTCCTTACTTTAACTCCTTTCTCATTTTCCAACCAACAGTATCTACTGTGTCTACCTGCTTAATTAACCACATCACTCGCTTTACTTTCATCTCAGCTTCCGCTCTTTCCCTACGGGATCCTACGCTCTTAGTCCCTTTGGCTGTCCCTTTTTATCCTACGTATTCTAGACCCTAACATTCACCTACTTTGACGATGACTGCTCTTTCAGCTAAAAATTGCATAACCGGTTATAAGCACATGAATCAACTGAGAGAACTGTTAAAATTGCAGTTCCCAGGCTGTCATCTCCAAATACTCTATTTCAGCAAATGGCAGAGGGGGTGATCAGGAATCTGGACTAATCATGAAAACACTCCAGGTGGTAAAACTCAATCTAATTATTTTTTACCAGCTACGTACTTTAAAGTTGGTTCTCAAATCTGTAGTGCCAGACTCAAATTTTCCTTCAAGCTCTAATACTTTTCTGTCTTTATTACATAATTCCTGGACTACTACAATATTTTCCTAATTCCTTTCCCATCCTCCCTCACTTCAATCCTCCAGTCATATACAAACCACATTCATACTCTGAAGGTGTTTTGATAAAATTAATTTGGTGGTTAATGGGGAACTATTTGTTGTTGTACACACCAGAGAGAAAAACTTTTCAAGTTTTCAAGGTACTCTTCAGTCTGATCCAAAATTCAATTTTGGTGTTATCTCTCACTATTCTTCTAATTTGTGTGTCTTATTCTCACTTATTGTCATATTGTTAGACTCCACTCCATGAGACCACCGTGTCCATGAGAACATCATGACAGAATGTAAGTGATTTGATATAGCTGCAGAGCTAATCACTTTGGAGCATGACATAGAATACACGTGCTGTATTCTCTCCCTCGCACTATCCTGCAGATGATAGGATTTCAGTAACCACTACATGATTGTAGGAAGGACTGGAAAGAAGAGGTGAAGGAAGAAAGAAAGAATGACCAACTAGAATTCAAGGCACACAAGCCATAATTTACACAGTAACTATTCCAGAAATATCACACTTATCACATTTCTCTCAAACTATATAATTTATCAATAAAAATTGAACTGCTATTTTATTAAGTTGCAAATAGTAATATTAAAAATAATTTATAGCTCAATTCTGCAAGGAACTTTGATAAAAATAGAGTTTTCAAGCCTAATAGAATAATGCCAAACTAATTACTGATTTAATAAAAAACA